CCCCCTCCCCCTTTCCCAAATTAAAATAAAAACAAGACCAAAAAAACCCCCAATAATTTAACAACGTTCGATATGTTGGTGACAAAAACTGAGACTCTCACCATTGCAGTACCAGTCGTTGTAGAAGTCAACCATGGCATCGTCCAGAGTCTCGTAGTTGTTAGCCTGGTAGAAATATTGTCTTCCGGAGGCGTAGTTCAGGAACTCAGAGGAGTCGAAGCCTGCCTGTCCACCTACTGCGACGGTTACAATGTACCAGCCCAGATTCTTGAGTCTGACGAAAAAGTACAATATAATTTTCTATGCGTGACATGCATCTGTTTTGCAAACAATCAGATTTTTTAAAACATAAAAACAAACACCCACAATAAGTGACGTTTTTCTTTTTTCTTTTCTTTCTTTTTGGAAGTCTCCTATTGCAATGAAAACGTTTTGAAACTTGCCTAAATACGACAACAGTATACAATGTTATTATTTTATTTTCCTAAATAGCAAAGAAGTAAATGTCTACGTCTATAACCCCCGCTATAAGATATCAATATCACAGCAGTAGCAAAAACAACTAACCACTATACCACAGAGGCCGTTGAAACTTCAGTAACACTGAGAGCAGTGACATCTGTTGTATACCCACCTTCTAATTTGGTTGGCAGTTTCTATGCGATCGTTTGCGAGGTTGTTGTTATCACCGGCAACAATCACAACGTAGCTGCGCCTCTGTGAGTTGACTGGTGCGCTCACCACAGATGCAAGTGCGTTATTCAAGCGTGCGTTGCCCTGACGAAAAAAAGTGATTCGTCATAGAGGCAATTGAGTGGGCTGTTGTAAGAATAATTGTTTTTTCTAACTGTATCTCGACTTGGCCAAGAGCAAGGAAAGGGAATAAAGACAATACACACCCAAGAAGTAGAAAATAAACAATTACTTTTTTTAAAGCTAGTTAAAAGTAAAATGTATCCATCCATTCTGAACATATTTGAAATGATATTATTATGCATATCTTGGGTTTTTCCTCAGTTGGGGTAATATTTGTTTGGCGTGATATCATGTACAAAGGACGCGTTTTACTTAGTGTAAGAATGAGAGTTCAAATATTTCCTTTACCACAATAGGAGGAGTCGTTCAAATATGTCATACAGTCACACAATTAATCTTGCAAGGCAGTTGCCATAAAAATATTGTTTATTCTCGCCCTCCTTCAGCTTCATCCATGACATGTGCACTCACTTACTTCCAATATACTGTTTGGGTTGGTGGTTGGATGGCGCCAGTGGTAAGTGCCACTTCTTTTCTGTTACTTTGCACTGATAGTTTCTACGTTTCTGTCTTGTTTTACCTAGCACTATGTTACCGATTTTGTGCTTCACTTTACTCAAACAAACAAGCTCTGGTATGTTACATCAACGTTTAACAAACATAAACCACACCAACGACAACATAGAAACTTACCCCTGATAGAGAACCAAACTGTCCGATGTTACCAATAGTGTTGCTCAGATATTGTGCTGACCTCGGGGTGTTGATGGACAAGTCAACTCTGTAATTGTCGTTGTAGGTGATGACACCAGCATGGAAGTTAGGGTTGGAAGAATATGTCTGGAAATGGGGGGGGGGGGCAGAAAATTTATGTAAATATTTTCCTTCACAGTTATTCTGACTTTGTGCATTAGTATTTTACCAATGGACTGTCAGAGCTAGTCCAGGTTGAGAGGGATACAATGTCCCTGCAGAAAGACCAAGAGACCCGATAAGAACTGTCTCCACAAGGGAAACGAAAGATCAAACTTGAGTTTTCTACATACGACGGTGAAGCACTTTACTACTACCCAACAAACACCAGTATCAGGGTGCTTCTGTAAGAGATTTAAAAATAACTAGACAAAAGCATGACTTCATTTGCATGGGAATTCGTCAAGAAATGGATTGCTTTTAGAAATCGAATAATTAATGATTGCTGTCAGTCTTACGGTCAGTTTGTCAACGACCGGTTCCTTCAGTCCAGAGATGAGGTCAGCGAAGTTGGCGGAGCGCGTCCTGGCGCCCTGTGAGACGTCCACGACCAACCACAGGTCACTGGTGCCGGGGTCGCAGTCTGTGGGTGGAGAATGCCAAGCCATCAGAGGAGGCGATCCAGGCAAACACAACAGAAAAGCCTTCGAGGAAATGCTATGTGGCAAAATGTCTATACCAGTAAGCTTTAAGTTATATAACCTATTTATCGTATTGTTGTCAACATTTGAGTTGATGTCAACGGCATCTTCTTCTTCTTCTCCTTCTTCTTCCTCTCCTTCTTTTTCCCCCTTCTTCTTCTTCTTCTTCTTCTTCTTCTCCTTCTCCTTCTCCTTCTCCTTCTCCT